GTCTTCCCTGTGCCTCCTGACACCACTCAGTGCTGGGCCCCTCCCATTCTTTGGGTTCCTGGCTTCCACTGCTCCTGATCAAAGGCTCACAGGGCCTCTCTGACTTAACTCTGGGTGCTCCTAGGTCTCCTCCCCTCTCAAGCATGGACAGTGCTCTGGGAACCCTGCTGTTCCCAACACTGGCCTGGCCTCACCCCTCCAGACTCGGATACTTTCCTGGAATGCACATGCTCATAACTCAGGCTGCCATAACAAAATACCAATGGTTGGGTGGGATAAAACAGACATTTAGGGATGGGCAGATAGTTCAGTTTAAGAATACTGCACAAGCATGAGGGCCTGAGTTCAGATCCTCAGCACCCACGTGAAAACCCAGGCGCAGTGCTGTGAGCCTGAAATTTTAGCACTGGAAAGGTGGTAATGAGAGATCTCTGGAGCTTGCTGGCCATAGCAGAGTTGGAGAGCTACAGGTTCAGTTTTTTCTCAAAAACCAAGGTGGAGAAAATTGAGGAAGATCAGCACCTATCTCCATGTGCACACATGTACACTTGCACACACATACACATGCACATATACATGCGAACACACATGATGCCCAGGCATTTGTTTTCCTATAGTTCTGGAGGCTGGAAAGCCAAGATGAGGTTTCAGCAGGGCCAGGTTCTGTTGTGGCCTCTCTTCCTAGCTGTGGATAGCATACTCCCTCTACCCCCACAGCGTTATCCCTCTCTGCAGGAAGACGGTGCGCTCTCCTGTCTCTGCCTCTTCTCAGGAGGGCACTAGTCCTTTTGGCCCCCATAACTTTACTCTCTTATCTGGGTCCAGCTCGAATGCCAGGTGTATTGGTTTCAACACTTCAACATGGTGAATAGAACTGAGGTGGGAGCAACTGAGTCCACAGGCTGTTGTTCCCTTTCCCACTCCCTCTACCCCCACAGCGTTATCCCTCTCTGCAGGAAGACGGTGCACTCTCCTGTCTCTGCCTCTTCTCAGGAGGGCACTAGCTCTTTTGGCCCCCATAACTTTACTCTCTTATCTGGGTCCAGATCAAATGCCAGGTGTATTGGTTTCAACACTTCAACATGGTGAATAGAACTGAGGTGGGAGCAACTGAGTCCACAGGCTG